ATTTTTCCACTCACGAAAACAGTCTCCTTTTCATTCTCCACTCACGAAAAATAAAAGGATACAGGTATGACTAATACAATCCTAAAGTATCGAACGTCTAATCGGAAATAATATATTTATAAAGACACAGCGTTATATCTACTAAAGTGCGAAACACGATAAATAGTAAAGCCAAAAAATTGTGTCAAATACTTCATACAACTACCTAAGCTTAGCATACACTCAAGTAGTTTGTTGCTCTAAAGCCCCTCTGGGAGAGTGTACGAACCCAAACTTTGTGAGTTACATACGCGGAATCAATAAGTCAAAGCTTCAATTGTGCAAGTTGCACGACATCTCTGTTTCATTTGTAGAACTATCAATGTAGTCGCGAAAAGACTGTATAGTCTGTTGAATCAAACACGGCTTTTCGATATCGGTCAAACGTGTTAGTTAATACGTTTGACGAGCTTATGCTTATCGTTGATCCCCAAGATATCAATAACTGGCGGTTAGAGATCAGAGGCAGTAACTGCTCGCTATAAAGCGCTCTGAAGCTATGGTGATGCGCTGGTGAGACATCTCCGGAACGTCCAAACCGGATATCGCTGGGAAGAATGGGACTTAATATTACTCCGCTTCTGTGGAGTGAAATCGAGGAATGAAGAAAATTTCTTTGGCTGAATGAGGAAAGTTGATTTGGCTATAGTTTGACCGTGCTTTGAAGGAAACATCAGTGTGTCATGCTTACAAGGCCCAAGCTAGGATGCCGGCTCCAAAGATGGACACCAACGTGTTATACAACCCTTCAGATATGAAGTTTTAAAGCGACAAATGAAGTGGGTGATCGTATGCCTGGAAAAGTTTATCTGTGGCGTATAAAGATCTAGTCCGCGCGTCGATTAAGGCGGGTACTAGTGGACTATGTCCGAGTGATGCGAATCCCTCGCACCACAATGGCGACCACCGGGTACGGCAAAGCGTACAATTTTCATGATGTTTTCTGAACAGGTGCGGCGCGCACTGATAATTTTCGCGTATATCTTATATCTTTCAGAAGTGCGTCTGGAGTCGCATTGAATGCAGGATGCAATTTCCGTGCCACTAGGGTCGGTTGGTATACCTGAAGCTGATGTTCTTCGAGCGCACCTGAGTCGATGGACCAATTATTTGGTAGGGACGAAGAGCGATAAGCACTATTGTACAGCAGCTCCTACGTACTCGCAAATGTCACATTGAGATTGTCCAAAGTAAATACACCTTGCACCCCCCTCCTATCTTGGCTTCATTATACGAAAGGTTGAGTTCCCGCACAGATTCGTTCAACGAGCCTCTCATAAAAATGCGTCGAGTATTAGCAGGTGCGACACAGCCTACTAAAATTTTGGGCTCTATGTACATAAAAGAGGTTTAAAGCAACGGGACCACGCCCGACGAGACGAAACTTCTCTAGGAGAAGTAGGCTCATGCTCCGCGGGTCATTGCTAACTCACAAAAAGAAATTCGTCTTTGTGCGGCTGTGTAATATTCGGACAGATCCAGAAACGTCGCGCGATTACTTTACACTCGCGTTTATTGCGATAGTTGGCGCTACTCAGAGGTATCAGACATGTCAATTATGGATACAGTATTCTTGCGTCTTGTGAAAGTGACAAAGCCGGAAGTGTCGAAGTGAACGTTCCTGCAAAGTTTGGTCACCGTATTTGAATCTTACTTGCTTCGAATGCAGATAAGAACTACTGCACCCATGACGGAAAGCTACATACAGTTGAGTACGCATTGGTCAATTTCGAAATTCAACTGTTTGGCTCTAAGCCGTGGGTGATATCTAAACACATGGATTGCTTCGTACGGCACATCATTTACATAAAATGACAAGATTACAAGTATTCTTCTCTTCATATTAAAACACAAGTCTTAATTGCTGTCGGCTGCTCCTTTTTGAACATTTTCAGTATAATTGGGAGTTGATGGCGCTTCTTAATTGAAAAGGTAAAACGTACAGCGTGCACGTCAGACGCAAAATGTGGTGCGCTGGTGAATGTGTTGGAAATTGAGGAAATCAAGAAATTTACGTATCAGCTATTAATTCATTGAAGCGTTTTGTTGTACCTCTATTACTTATCCTAAGGCTTGCTGTTTGACAACACTGGCCTACATGACAATCTAGATGTACCTTCCTGTAATGGTTAAGTGTAGCCCACTGCATGCACCTTACTAGTCTGGAGAATTGCGCGAAATACAATTTTGTATACATTTTACAAAATTCACAAGACGTCTTTCTTTAATTGTGAATATTCACAGTGGCTATTTAGATTTATCAATCCCCATTATATACCACAGTAAGTTAGTCTAACTAGCCACATTAGACGGTCTCGCTGTCGCTTATGTGTGAAGCAAACGAATTCATTCCCTGTGCGTTACGTACTGCGGAGTATTTGAGTCAGAACTTCTTCTCGGCAAAACGCTTTTGCAGCTCATATGTGCTCGGTGTGGATAACCATAATGATATCCACGCTCTGTGATGTGCGTATGCACGATGCAGTCTAATTACACACTATCAGCTTCACGCACAACCTAGAATCTGACTCAAAAATTATCTACATTAAATAGGTAATGCGGCAAACGAGTCTTTTGAGATTTCATCAGCAAGAGAATGGGTTTCCTCCTCCATGTTCATCAAATCCTCTGTAAAATTCGACAATATCGAAGCGACCGAATCATTGCATCACTACGACATGGTTTCCAATGGCTCGTCCGATTGGTCAATTGAGAGCATGTGGTGCTAAGCTCACCACAAAGTCGCACACAAATGTTTTGTGTTGCCGAGACACGTCACATGGTACCGTAATTTTGGGCATGATCTGAAAGGAGTGGAAACACGTAAGATTCATCATGTGTTTATGTGTAAGGCAAGTATTTAACTACAAAACTTTGCCTGGTGTTGTTATACAACACTGAGATGCCCAAACCAAAAGTTGGATCAATAATACGAATGAACTGAGCGTTTGCAGGAAGCAAAATGGCGGTTGACATAGATATATCTTGTTTCCTAAACGACATACCCAAGAAGGTCATGCAAGTGACGACCGCTCGTAATTTTCATGCCCTCGAGTGAATTGCGTCACTATACATGACATAATTGCCGCCAATCTTATCGATATAGAACGTTTTGTGCAGATCGATCAGTATTTGCACGACGCTGTGACTGTTGAACTAAATAGGTGGCCCGATACGCTACCTCTGCGCAAAGTACTACAAATGTCAGATAGGAAGGAAGGACCTGGTGGTTTGAGGGTAAGTTTCCAAGTAAATGTATTATGCTTATAGCTAGCTAATTATGCAAATCGTTGGGAGTTTCATAACTCCTCCTGGTTTACTTAGGTACGACTA